ATACTTTAAAATGAGTAATGAAACGTGAGGGACTAAATCACGAGGCCTCTAAATTCAAAAAAGGAAAGAATAGAATGAGTGAGATTTCTGTGATTTAAAAGAGATGTTAGCTGCATGTGGTGGCACAGGCCTGTAATCCCAGCACTTTGGGAGGCTGAGGCAGGAGAACTAAAAGTTCAAGTCCAGCTTGGGCAAGTTGGCAACATAGTGAGGCCCTGTGCCAAAATAAAAAATTAAAAAGGGCTGAGGATGTAGTCAGTGAAGGGCTCCAGGTTCAACTTTCAGAACTGCTAAAAGTAACTAAATAAATAATACAGTGAGTTTTCCAATGACCCAAGCCGAGAGGTTGTTTGTTTTTGTTTTGTTTCCTCAGAGCACTGACAAGATTGGTTTTATAGCAGGAAAGGTCTGATAAAAGCATAAACAAAAGCAAAAATCAGATTGGTCATCTTAAAGTTACTTTTCTTATAGTGCCCAGAGCAGTGACAGAATACTAGGAAAATAGTTAATTGGTTAGCTCTAGGTTACTGGACTGTGTTTGGTACTAGGTCGGACTCAGGGCCACAGTACTGACCTTTATAGTTCCGGGCCTTTTTTGTTTTTTGAGACAAGGTCTTGCTAGTTGTTAAGCTGCCCTGGCTAGGCTTGAACATCCAGTCCTCCTGCTTCAGCCTCTAGGATAGCTGGGATAACAGGTACATGCCACCATGCCCTACTTTTATATTCTTATAGTCTTGGTTTTCATTTTTGCCTAGGTTAACTAAATGATTTGATTTCAGCCTGGTGACACTGAAATTTAGTGTGTGAGACTTCATTAGAGTTTCTAGAACTGGTCAGTTGGGGCATATATAGGAGCTTAGTTGAATGGGTGCCAATGATTTTTATTTAATAATAGTTATTTATACTTTTGAGAAAATTTTGGATTTACATATATGTTTGTACTATGCCTTACACCTTTGGTTTTTATTTATTGACATATCCCTGGAACACTGCCTGATATATAGCATGCTTTAATAGGAAATGTTGACTAGTGAATACTTGCATGTATGAGTATATGTGTAGTCTCTTGAAATAGTACCAAGGGAAGCCATTATAACAGTCATGAGTTTGAGTTATTTATGTAAGAATAACCATGATTTACAAAATAGGTCATGCTTCTTCACAGAAAAATGCATACTTAAAAAAAGGAAGATTTTGAATTACAAAAAGCTATAGATGCTAGCTGACAATTTTTAAAAATACAGCATATGAAAACAAAAAGTAGAAGCCTTAGTGGAATGTGTGGTGTGTGCTGAAGTCCTCTGAGGGGCTTAGACAGTGTGGGGCTGGAGGCCACACCCTGCACCAGCTCACGGCTTCAAAACCTGCCGGTTGAAAACATGAAAGCTGAACAAGAGTTTTAGGAGGTACCAGAGATTGAACCCAGGACCTTTGCACTGAGATAAATCTCCAGCCCTTCTTAAAATTTTTTATTTTGAGACAAGCTTTCACCTACTTGCCCAAGCTAGATTAAAATTTGTGTTCCTCCTGCCTCAACCTCTCAGGGTGCTGGGACTCCAGGTGTGTGCCACCATGCCCAGCTGAACAAGATATCTGTAAGAATATCACTCAGTTCTTGTCAGTCTGTCACAATGAGTAGAATCTTAGGAAGTGTAAAGTTTGAAAAAACAAGATATAGTTAAAAACAGATACAAACCTTTTGGCTTTTTCCTTCTAAGTAGATTTTGAGCTATAATTTAAATGTATTAGGGCTGGGGATTTAGCTCAGTGGCATAAGCACCTGCCTTGCAAGCAGGCGGTCGGGAGTTCAATCCCTGGTACCAATAAAAAAAAATGTATTTTAGGAGCACAGTGCAATGAGTTTTGAAGAATGTGTGAATCTGTCAAAATATCAATGCCCCTCCAGGACAATTCCCAGTGTCTTTTGCATTCCCTGCTCCCTGGCCCCAGGCAAGTGCTTCCTGCCCAGTCTAGAATTTCCTGTAAGTACAATAACACACCACAGAGTCCTTGTGTCTGGCATCTTTTGCTCAGCACATTTTTGACAGTCACGTACCTTTCTGCATGCATCAGGCATTCATTATTCTTTACTGCTGCATAGTATTCTATGGTAGGAACAGAGCACTTTAGCTCTCTCTTCATCTGGTGATAAACTCACAGGTCATGTTCTCAATCCAGAGACAGAAACTGGTAATGTGAGTAGTTAGATTTATTGTAATTGTCAGCTGGTAATGTGAATAATTAGATTTAATATAATTGTCAGCTGGTAAACAGTGGTTAATAACAACAGTGGATGAAAGGGGACCCTGAAGATCTACAAACCATGAAATTACAATGAATGTCTAAATGCTTAAAAGATGTATGACAGTAAAAGACACATTGCTATTAATCTCCCCGAAAACACTCCCCCTCACCTCCCCTTTATGTTTCCCCCACTTCAGCCACATTTCTCCCATTGTTCCTGCCACTTTTTGATGCAGTTCTAGAGTCTTCTTTCACGCATGTCTTTACAAGGTGTGATCAGAACTATGAGGAATACAGCTACCAAGTACCATCCAATAGAAAAGCACGAGCGCGCATCGTCACCCATCTCATTGACAGGGCTGGGACTGTGCAGCTCCTGGCTCTTCCCCACAGCAAAATCACCACAGAAGGAAAGTGTTCCGAGTCTGTTCTGCAGCACAACTAAACACAAAAACCAGGACTTCAGAACTGCTTCAGAAAGTGGCAAGAACAATGGGATAAATGTGACTGAAGTGGGGGAAACCTAAAGGGGATTAATGGCAAAGTGCCTTTTTCTGTAAAGAAATTTTTAAATTTAAACTTTCACCATATGTTTCAATCACACTACACAGAAGATGAGCAAGAGAAGGCCCTTAAGGAACCGAGGGCTTTGCTGAGGAGGCCGTGCCCCTCACCAGATGCCCTTCTGTCCCTCTTTCAGAAGGCACATGGTTGCCCCAGGGCTGTGCAGTCCAGCAGGGAAGACACTCACTGAGGACAGGGGCTGGGCCTGACGTTGCCAGGTGATGCAGTTGGCTTGGCGTCTGTAGGAGCAGCCTGATTGCTTCAGTCAATTTTACATTGCTGTGATGATACTTGAGATGAACCACTTAAAGAAGGAACCAGTCTTTTGGCTCACAGTTTTAAAGGCTCCCATCGCATTTGCTTGTTCCCAAAGTTTGGGTCTGTTCTGAGGCAGGCATCACAGTGGGAGTGTACTGTAGAGCTCACTCTAGGCTCACAGCTCTGGGGATGAGCAAAAAGTGGGGGATAAAGAGGAGGGAAGGAGGTCCCAGGACCCCCAGGGCCTGTCCCCACTGACAGACCTCTCTTCCTCCCTCCTATGGAGTAGAGGGGAGGCTCACCTAGAGGTCTCACCCCTCCCAATGGTACTACACAGCCTCAGGGTAGATTTCAGATCCCAATCTTAACCCTGAAAGCGGAGGGCAAGGTGTGAGCTGGACCTGGCTGAGAACCTTGCTACTAAACCCGTTCTGACAAAAAGAGGAGCTGAGCCGGCAACCCACGGGCAAAAGGCAGAGACTTTTTTTTTGGACAGGATCCTACTAACTTGCCCCGGCTGGCCTTGAACTTATGACTCTCCTGCCTGAGCTTCTAGAGTACTGAAATTACAGGAGTGTGCCCCCGCCCCCACCCCAGTCCCAGATATTTTCATATTAGTGTTTAATCTTGTCACGTGTGACTATTCCTTTGAAAGCTTTAGGAAAGATCATAGGGATTTTGTCTATTTTGATAAGATTTATATATCATAATGGAAAGGGGCCTCTATTTTTTTCATTTTAAAACACTAATGCAGGGTTTACAAGGTCATAAATTAGTTGCTATTCAAATGAACAAAACGTAACATGTCTCCTCACTAAACAGTAAATAAGTTTTCTACCGACAGTCTAAAATAATCACTCTTACTAGTAAAATACTTAGTGTATTTAAGTACTACCCATGTGAGGGGAAGTAATACTCATGTAATAAATGAATATATGTTCATAAACATTTAACACATATTAAAGTTTATTTTCTTGGTAGTATCAACAATCTGTTACCTAGACTTCCCCCCACCACATGAAAGGTACGGAGTATTGAATTTGGTGGCTTCAATTTGCAAATCATTCTGCCTCAGCTTCGGTAGTACTTGAGATTACAGGCACGCACACCTTCTCTCAGATCATATTACGACCCTCCTCTCATTCCCTCAGATACACTCCGAAGTGAGGGGCAGGTGGGCCCAGGCTAACTAAAGAGCACCATTTCCGCCCCGTGGGGCTCACAGCGCAGGTAGGTGACAGAAAAATCAGCAGTGTGGCCAAGGCAAAGTGCAGACAGGCTTCAAGAGGAGCCAAAGGTCGACCGCTAAACTGAGACTCGCCCAGATTTCTTGATTATTCCGACTTGGCAAAAACAGAGGGAGCAAGCGGCGATGCCCGCTTCCGCGGCGGCGTGCGGTGTAAACACCCCAGGAAGGCGGCGCGCACCCCACCAGAGGCGCAGTCCAACCCGCAGGTGTGCCTCGCGCGCGCGCCAGGGGTGTTCACGGTGTGCGCGCCGGGAACTACGGCCTGGGGGCGCCGGCCGAGCGCCCTGGGAGGGCGTCGCTCTGGAGTCCCAGCTCCCAGCGGACCCGGAGTCTGCACCCTTGTCACAACGCCCAGACAAGGAACGGGCGCTGCGAACTGGAACAGCTCCCGGACCGGGACCCTGAATGAGGAGAGCGCCCATCACGGTGCCGCTCCGCGCGCGGTGGCGGCGGCCTCAGGGCGCCCTGCCCTCTACGCCTCCGCTCCTCGACAAGGGAGAGCTAGCAGGCCGTGGTGGGGTCGCCCCGCGGCAGCGGCAGCGGTAGCGGGCGCGCCTCAGAGCCGTGCGCGTCCCCGCGCGCGCCGCCGCCGCACCGCGCGCGCTCAGCTGACCGGCTGGCGCCGGCCGCGGCCCGACCTCCCCCGCGGCCCGACCTCCCCCGTGACACGCCCCCCGCTCCTCAGCGGGCGCGCAGCGCGACCGGGACCCGCGGCGGCTCCGGCCATGGGCGCGCCGGGGCGGTGCTAGGCCGGCGCGGGCGGCGGGAGCGGTGCGGCGCCTTAGCGCCTCAGCCTCGCGAGCTCTTCCCCGGCGGCGGCATGAGCGCGAGCGGCGCGGCGCCCAGTCCGGGCTCCTCCCCGGCAGCCTGCCGCTTCGCGCATTACTTCGTGCTGTGCGGCGTCGACGCGGACAGCGGGCTGGAGCCCGACGAGCTGGCGGGTAAGGCCGGGCGCGCGGCGGCGCCTGGACTTTGTTGTCGCTCGGCGCGGGGCGCGCTCAGAGCCCTAGCTTTCTCCGCGTGGCCGGGCGGGCGGCCCAAGCGACCCTGCCGCGGCCCAGGGCCGGGCCTCGGCGACCATGGCTCCTGGAACGTGCGCTTTCAGGCCCGGCCCGGCCGGCGGTCGGTCGCCCTGGCTGGGCTTGACCCGGGCAGCTTCGGTCCGCGAGGACTGCCGACCCCTTTGGGGAGCCCAGTCGCCTGGGCGGCGTCACGGGGACTGGCGGGGTTTCTGGCGCTTTGTGGACGCTGCCCGCCCGGCCCTGGTACAGAAGCGGGCATCACCGCCGCACTCGAGCCCGTGCGCCCCCACCAGAGCTTCTGGAGAGGGGCTCGGTCCCCGCGGGGCTCCCGGTGGCGCAGTGCGGGGTGCGCTGGAGCGCGGCGCGGGGCAGGGTGCGCGGAGGCCGGGGAGCCGGTTTCTGCCATGGCTTTCGCCGTTTCTTTTTCCTCGCCTTCCTCCTGCGAGCTGAGTCTTGATTTTTTTTTTTTTTTTTTTTTTTTTGTTAAATGGTGAGACAAGTGACATCTATCGCCTGAACTTTTATCTGTGTCAGCGCTTAACACTTAGGTCATAGGCTTTCAGGACAGCTTTCTTTGGAAATGCCATTCCTATTGATTGCACCAGTGTGGATATTTTTTTCCTTTTGGGAGGAGGAATGGAAGAATGCATTAAATAATGAATGATAGTAAACAAAACCGTTTAGCCTTAAAACCCTGTGCCTGACATCCTATATCTTTAGCGAAGTATTTTTAAGTTAGCCTCAGAGCTAAACATTTTTCCAAAAAAACTCTTTTTAAAAAGTCTAGTTTTAGTTTAAAAATGTATGGAAAAGATGGATAATAGAGTAATAGGCTTTTCCTGTATGTGTAATTATGTAATCATACTGTTTCTTTATCTGAGATTTCCTGTACCTGTTAAAAATGGCTTTGTTAAGGGATTTGAATTACAAAAAAAGGGTCTGCAGGATTTGGAGCGATTCTGCGGTGGGAGCTGGTGAAAGAACTACTTACTTTTCTAGGATCCCTTCTTCTAAACAACCCTCAGTGTTTAGAAGGGTCACTTGGAGGACTCCTGTGGGTGTTGACAAGTGACAAAAGAAAGCCTTTCTTATTTCTGTTTTCCCTTGAACTCTAAACTGTCTCGTAAGTGTGACCTGGGACTCGACTCTATTTTATTTGTAAAACTGGGAATAGAAGCACAGGCTTTCAGTCCGTTTTAGTTTTTAATTTTGAGAAAGGATCTCACTGTCATTGAGTTCCTCAGGGTTATCTTAAACTTGTAATCTTCCTGCTTTAGCTTCCCAGAGTGCTAGGGCTACAGAATGTGTGCCACCATGCCCAGGTTACCTGGTACACTCTAGGCACAGTACAAAGGGCTTAACAAAACTAAACAGTAAAACATTCCATTTTAATGCACTTTTGAACTTTCTTATTAAAAAAAAAAAAAAAACAAAAAACCTGAATGGAAGAAAAGCATTATCTGAGGAAGAAACGAGTACAAAGTTTCTAGAACTGACAAAACCAAGAAGATTTTTTTTTTTTAAAGACAAACTGTGATTTCTCTTGTTACAATACAGTAGGAATGTGATTATGTGGAATTTCTGCTCTTAGTATTTGGTGTATTCAGGAAATAATATATGTTAACTGGTAAGATTTCAGTATATTTATTTAATGAAAAGATTTTGGATATCAGTCAATGTGTTCCAGGCAGTTCTGAAACTCACTATGTATCCTAGGCTGGCCTTGAACTCTTTTATTAAAGAGTCTTCCAGAGTACTGGAATTAAAAGTGTTCATCACCACACACGGCTCAACAAATAGTCTTGAAAGCCTGTGTGTAATTTGTATTCTAGGCATTGGAAATGACTGTGAGCAAAGCATTTGAAAATTAGGGAGCTTACATTCTAGTGAAAAGAAATAAGGAAAAGATAGTTTGCCAGATATTAGTGCTGTGAAGAGGAATAGCTTCAGAAAAAGGAGTCCAGAATGGTGGCAGCAAGATGCAGGCCATAGAACATGCTGGGGATTATTAACCCCAGGGCCTCTCCTGTGCTGGTGCTCTCCACTAAGTGCCATTCCTTCCAGTGTGAGATTTTGTGTGTGAAGGTTGGGAAAGGCCTGCCAGAGAAGGAAGTAAGGAAGCAAGCCTTGTGGATTGCCTGGGGCAGCGGTGGTGAGCCTTTTAGATCTTTGAGTGATACAAACTACCTGCTGTGGCACATGTGTCATGGGTTCGCCATCACCGGTCTCTGGCCTCATAGACAGTTTTTAGCCTTTTCTTTGGAGATGGGAAGCTCCTGGAAGGCCTTCCACAGAGTACTGATGAGATCTGATGTTTCCTGTGGTAGGACCCTGGGGCTGCGCATTGAGTGGAGGAGTCAGGGCCTGGGTGGGAAACTGCCTCACTGTTTGAGGTGAGAGGCGCTGAAGTTCTAGGTGGTGCATCTGGAAGGGCCCGCCAACAGAACTTGCTGATGAATTGTGTGAATCCATATTATTGTATCAGTATAGTATAGTCATACTCAGAAAATGATCAAAGATGACTGCAAGGTTTTTGGCTGCAACAGATCGGAGCATCTCTACTGAAATAGGACTAATGGAGATGCAGGCAGGAGATTAATTCAGTTTTGGATATGTTAAGTTTGAAGTTCCTATTAGACTTTCAAATGGAGATGTTGGATAGAGAAGACATCTTCTGAGGGAGAGGTTTAGACTTGACAAATTTATTTTATTTATTTATTTTAAAATTTATTTTGGGGCTGGGGATTTAGCTCAGCGGCATAAGCACCTGCCTTGTAAGCAGGCAGTCATGAGTTCGATCCCCGGTACCGATAAAAAGGAAAAAGACAAAAAAAAAATTTTTTTTATTTTGGCTGGGAATTGAACTTGGGACCTTGTGCAGGCATTGTGCCACTGAGCTGTATTCCTGGCCCTGTAGACATAAACTGAAAACCATGAAATTGGATGGAATCACTTAGAAAGTGAGTGTGGATAGAAAGATTTGAGTCCAGGGTTGAATGAACTCTAGTGTGTGTCTGTAGAAGATGGAGGGAAGTTAAGGGGTGTGGACAGTGTAAGGAGGAAAGTGGGAATGTGGGGTCATGTTCTCACCTAGCCCTCCTTTTCATTTTTCTTAGGCCTACATGTGGTAATGTATGTGTTCATCTGGGCTGTGACAGAACATGGGAGACAGGGTACATCAGGGATCAGTACAGCTCATTTATGTAAGTTTCGGAAGGTGAGGGTGATGTAAGGGTGGCCTTACTGTTAGGTCTTAGGTCAGGCCACTTAGTGGATGGTTTCGAATGGGTAGGAACACTTGCACAAGAGCAAATGCTGAGACAGGAAGCCAGGGAGATGTAGGGGTGAGGCATGGTGGCTTATTCGGTTACTCCTGCTGTAACTGACCCAACCAACCCTGGCCTGAGGGAACTGTCTCAGTCCTCCCCAAGGCAGCATCTCCTTGACCTCATTACCTCAGTGACCCACACCTCTTAGATTGCACCACCTCTCACTGTCACAGGGATGCTCAGGCTTACATGCCCTGTGGGGGACAGACTGCAGACAGCACTGAGTCAGGTGAGCTACTCAGGAGGTTGGTTCTATTTTGCCACATTGATTTGAAACTTGGTAATGATGGAATTTTATTGTGTTTTTCTGGAATTGATCTCTTTATCTTATTATTTATTAGGAAGTTGTTGCCCTGCCTTTAGTTGTCTTGACTTCTGTTAAACATAGATGTTAGCTAGGTGTCATGGTGCAAGCCTGCAGTCCCAGCATTGGGGGGGCTGAGGTGGGAGGATCATGGCTAGGCTACATAGTGAAGCCTTCTCTCAAAAAACCAAACCAAACCAAAAAAACAAAGACATAATTTTGCTGAATAGGTTTTTTGTTTGTTTGTTTTTTGAGACAGGGTGTCACTGTGTAGTTCAGGCCTGGCCTCAAACTCACAGCAATTCTCTTGCCTCAGTTTCCCCACTCCTGAGAATACAGGCATGTGTCATGATGACCCACTAGACTTTTTCTTAACATACATGTTTCTGAAATTCTACAGGTAGTGACACATTGCAATCAAGTTAAGGATAGATATCATCAAGTAGTAATTAAATGGACCAAAACCTTGTGATAAAAGTTATGGAGACTTCTGTAGTGTTTTTAGATACTCTTTTCATTAACACCTAGCTTTAACAACTGTGGAAAAGACCTTTTAGATCTGTGCCTCTCCCTTTCTTCAGCACTGGGGATTGAACCCAGGGTCTTTGCACTAAACTATGTTCCTAACCCTTTTTAAATTTTTATTTTGAGACAATGTTGTGCTAATATAGTATGTTGCACAGGCTGGTCTCAAACTTTTCTGCGTCAGCCTCCCAGAGTTGGAAGTAAAGCATGTACCACTGTGATCGATGTAGAGTGTCGTTACTTTTCCCATTCCTGATACAGTGTTTGGTAAATAAGTGAGGGTATGGGGGAAATGGATGTGCAGCTCAGTGGCATAGTGCTTGCCTTGCATGTGGAAGACCCTGGATTTGATCCTCAGTGCTGCACATGGGCATATGTGACCAAATATGTTTACAAGAGTCTAGAACATACATATATTCTCGTATGTATGTAGTATGGGGTGTGTGTGTGTGTGTGTGTGTGAGAGTGTTCTGGAGGTGGGGCCAGGGTGTCCTGTGTGCTAAGCAAGTGTCACATCTCCAACCCTAGAATATATCCTTTTAAGTGTTTTCACGGTGGTTTGGATTCAGTCCTGAAAGCTGTGGAAGTCTGACCAGTGAGATCTCTAGCACAGACCTTTGTTTGGAGCTCTTCCTTGGTCTCTGTTTTTAGCTTTGGTTGGGTTGGTTGTTGTTTCCAAAAGACTTTAGAGGCAGTGGAGATCATCCTCCAAACTCATGTATAAAATTTAGTTGAGGTAGAGTTTCATGTCACAGTATTTC